ATTGATATGTTGTTAACGAGTTTTAATCCCTCGCACGTTCAAAAAGTATTACCAACACTGTTTAAGAAAAGCAATGAAGCATTTTTTCTCTAAAAACAGTAACTTATCTATATTATTATAAGTTAACAGTTAAATAATATGTATAAAAAAAAATATTTATCTAATTTTCAAAATTGTCTGTCATTTTTTTGTCGTTTAAAATAATACTCAATGTGCAAGAATATAAAATAATATTATTTTAACATACATAATATTTTGTAGGTCATAAATATATAGTGGATATATTAATAGAAGAAAATATTATACCATTCAAAAAACTCTATGATAATTCGTAGTTACATTATATTTATAGAAAAAATACCTTCTAGAAATTTATTCTCTTAGGAACAAATTCTTTCCTAACACTTTAATAAGATATGGTATGTTTTAAAAATTGTGACGATTAGTATAGAATAATTGCTAACATTTTATTTAATTTTTAAAGAAGCTACCAGTTTTAGGATTTTTCATTTTTTTATAACTATATTTTTAAAAAATACATTATTTTGAGTGTTATTAAATTTCAAATAATTTTTTATAATCAATACAATTTTTATAGAATTACCCTTTAAACTGTAATAATGACAGCTTTTAAAAACCGATTTTCATGAGTTGCGCCAATTATTATATAAAACAAAAAAACTAAGTTTCTATATAAGAAACAATAAAATTGAAGCTTTTGAAAATATTACAAATTAGATTAATGCAGCCATTATAATTATAAATAGTACCTTGTTGTCTTTAAAAGAACTTAAATTCTTCCTTAGTAGTTTGACAAGAGGCCAATAATAATTTGTAATTAATGTTTGCTATGAGCTGCCAGTTTGTTTGTTTGCACTTAAACAAAACGGTTAATCTTTGACTAAAAGACTAAAATTATAATTTATCATTATAAATGGTGTAAACAAAGTTACAACAATCTATCTGGGTGAATTATTTATTACAGTATGAACAACTTTAAAATGGTCATTTAAAATTACAGATAAATTAAGTATCACTGAATCCACTTTAATCATAATTTTTCATTAACTTTTTAAACACATATTAATTTTCTAGTTAAATAGTTTTTGACTATAACATTGAGCACCTTTTATTTTAATGAGATTAATTTAGAACTAACCGAGTTATCTCATAGTTAATACATGTAATATTTGTGATAACGTTTGAAATATTATCTTGATTTATAAAATATCTAATTTTCACACAAACATAATAATGGTTATTGTTGACGATATCTTGACAATAATGTTGCTATTTCAGAAAATCCCTTAAGAGACGAATAATACTAAAATATTTTAGTTAGATTTTAGTACTAGACGGGGACATATTACGTTTAGGGTCTAGTTTTGGTTGGGTTGGGTTTTGTCTCTTTTAAATTATATTAACGTATTCTCTAATGTTCTAATTTTTTTTTTTTTTTGTTAATGTCCTTATTATGTAATCAAACAATTTTTTACTACTTTGTTTCAAATGTAATATGCATTTTACTTCCAATTAAAATGTTAATCAATTTATAATATACAATTACGATTTAAAAACTATTTTCAAAAATCAAACTGATAATATTGAGACTTGTTAGTCTTAAATTAAAGTTTTAAGGGAAAATTGCCCCTCTTTTTCTGTATTTATTTATCAATTTTATATTACTCTCATTAATTTTGAATTATTTGAACAATTACACAAGTATATTTTGAATAAGAATCATAAATATTGCAAGAATCTTAAATTAACGAAAAATAATTATAAGTTTAGGTGATAATTTCTTAAGATCTACCTTCCATTCAATATCCAAAAGGAATTTTAAAATAGTTTTATGTTAAATAATTAATAAAAAATAATTAGACTATATAAAGGACTAAAGTCTTAAGGTGTATAAATAAACTTTGATAAAGATTTAATTCGTTAGATAATTATTTCGCACTTTCAGTTCAAAAAGTTATTGAAATTTTGGTAATAGTTTTTAATTGATTTAAATTTAATATACAGTCACTGACTATATAACGAATTTCAAGGAACCAATAAATGTACGTTATATTTACTGTTTTGAAAATGTAAAAGTATATTAATTTTTATGTTTTTTTTTTGTAGAGCTGTTATGCACTAATCATGGATATTTTATCTTAATAACGATAATGTACTCGAGCACATTATAATAATCATAAAATTCCAGAAATATACCTACACCACGAGAGCTTGGCCAATAAACTCGTTATATCAAAAGAATATTTATTTAAAAAATAGTTTTATTGTAAGATTTTTAAGAAGACGATCATTTTATTTGTATTATCTAGTTGTTCTGAAGCTTCACAATTTAATAAAAAATTATTTGTAAATCAAGTCTTATATATTATTTTACTGGAGATTTATTTATTAGTAATAATATTTTATTATACTTACTATACAATAAAATATCCGATGTTAATTTGATTATGATTAATAAATTAGAATTTAGTAACATAAATAGAACTATTTCTATCCATTAAGTACAATAGTGAAACTTTGACAAACAGTATTTACACAAACAATTATTTCAACTAGTAACTAAATGTATATCAATTGTCTTGTTGAAGTTTCTTCTAAAATGTGTTTACAATGTTTTGAATAACAATATTATATATATATATAAATTTGTTTGTTCCTAACTATACACGTTTTATTTGTTGGTTTTCATTATTTAGGGTATATTCCCGGAAGGCTTGACGTCAAATTAGTATAAAGTCTCAGTTGACGCAAATCAAAAGAGAAACATATTATTTAACTTAAAGATTAAATTTATTTCTAAACGGATTATACAGTGTTGTAAAATAATGTTTTATTTTTATAAGTTTCAGAAAAATGAGGTTTATACAAAAATTTATTATATGTTTTTTAATCATTTCTTAACCAATAATTGGTTAAGAGTTAGAATTATTCTAACTGTAAAAATATGTCATCTTTCAAAACGAATGAAAGGAATTAAACATGAAAATAACGTTTTGGTATCTTTACAATATTTTTTTGTTTTGTTTTTAATTAATCTACATGTAAAAATGACGGTATGTTAAACAACTTTACTTTATTTTTAATAATCTTAACGTATACTTATCCATGATAGACAATAAAAAAATTTTTTTTGATCTCTACAGGTGATTTTTAATTATGTCTTACGAAATATTTTTAAAAATATTGGAGCTAAATATAATTTTATTTTATTTTATTTTATATAATGGTACTTTTTTGAAATGCTATACACGAAAAATACATTTTTTCAAATCAAATTTTGTATTTTTAACGAGTTATAGCAATTTAAAGTCTAAGGACCATCAAGAAAAAATAGTACTTACATCTAAAAACGGAATTTTTGCGTGTTATCGTATTTCTACAAACCGGTGACGTTAATCAATAAACAACGTCATAATATTATAAGCTTTTAAATATTTCTTTCTGATCGCTCTAAGAGAGGAAATAATCATCAACATTTTTGACAATGTACTGAAAACACTCTCTTCATTAACTCTACATCAAATTAAAGACAATACAATGTACATTAAGAAGATGAAAAAAACTATCTAAAATCTTGATTTCTAGGAATTATTATGTATCAAAAATCATAAGCCATAACTTTAAAAATAAACCAACCAGCTATTTTTTTAATTAGATAATTTTATATTTTATAAAATATTTAAATATGTATGTTACTGATGATAAAAATAAAGTTGTAACCCTTTTACGTTATAAGGTAAAAAGTAATTATTAGCTGATAAATCAAGAACTATATATAACTAAAAGAAATCAAAAATTGTTTTTTTAATATTGTATTAATTTTATTAGTAATTGAGTGGTTTATGATAAATCACTCGCTATGTAAATACATCAGTTTCTACAAATTTTTCGTATGTAAATGATGAGATAAATTAAGTGCAGTGGTTTATTGTTGCCATCCGTGTTAAAGACTTGAAGCTTTTAGCTGTTGTTAAAATTCCTATTACATTAAAAATCTTTTCCGTGAACCTTACCAACAGACGTGGCTTACAACAAGAGGTTATTAGCAACAAATGAATCCATTGACAATAGATCATTGCGCCACACAATATCACCTAGTTATAAGTATCAAAAGAAAACTTATATCTGTTATTAAATTTAATTATTCCATCATTTCAATTTAATTGAAGGCCAACAGATAAATATGTCTATTTCTTTAAATATTTGATAAAACTCAATTAATGTTTTAGTTTAATAAGGAAGTGTAGATGAGACACTTTTAAAATTAGTATTGATTTATATCTGATAGTGACTATAATCATTGTTGTAAAAGTATCGAAGTATATAAAATTTAACATATCCATTAAAGTCAGATAATTTTCAATTATCCATATCTTTCTTTTTTAATTATATTGTATATTAAATATGCTTATATTTTATTTAGTTTTGAATGATATAGAACTTCTGTTGCTATGCAAAAATCTTTGTAAAATTGTGTGATTTAATATCCTTTAATGTCCAATAATTTATTACTTTAAATACTTTACTATAAATCAAGTTATTATATTTAAGTATATTATATTAGCTTTAATTTAATGTTAATGTAAAATATAAATGTAAGTATTTGAAATATCGAAAAAAAATTTTGATATAATTTTTAAGCTTTCATAGTACTATGGATAGTGTTTTCATTTAAAAAAAAAAGTATGTTGCCGGCAAAATTAATAATGTATTATCAATGAAAACTTTGTAATGATGCATCCAGTTTTCAAAAAAAAAAATTGTAAAAATATTAACAACAACTGTTTTATACAATAGTAATATTTTGAGGGGTTTCTTTTTGTTATACATATTGAAGAAAATGTTTCAAAACTACGACGCTTAAAGCTCCAACAACGTAAGATTAAAGAAATAAAAGTATACATTTCTTTAAACTTTAAATGTATAATGTAAGATGTGTACACATAAATAGTATATAGTTATTAAAAATAAATTTCAAATAATTTAAATACAATATATTTAAAGTCAAGGTATATAAAGAGTTAAGTAAAAAAATAAACTTTAAATTAACAATAAAATGTTTTAAAGTAAAAGTTTTGGTAAAATTTACATTTACATTGAATGGTTAATTACACTGATTTTTGATCATTGATTTTTTTTTGGTAATTTATCACTGTAGCTAACTTTTCGGGTAGTATATTTCCTAAATATATAACTAAGACATTTGAAATTTATATATAAAATTAAAATTAATACTAATAAACAAACAACTATAACATCTAAAAGTAAAAACTGGAACCAATAATGATTGTTAGCTGTAGTTTTTAAATGTTGGGCACCATTGTGGCGTATCACATATTCAATCCAATAAATCACATTGTCTAAAATTGAAATCGCAGTGTCTTTAAGTATAGCTGAGTTTTTCAACGCATTATTTTTAAATCTGAAATCATATATTTATTGTAGTTTCTATTTTTTATTAACACAATTCAAATAAATTTTGGTTTTGGATAAAACCCTGGACAGTGTGTATAAGGCACTGCAGTGTTGCTCACTCAGGGACACTGACCTTTTTATTATCACTATTTAATATAATTTATATGAACTTATATATAATTTATATATACAGGGTATTCAGTAAGTAAACAATCAGGTCAATTGTTACAAACAATAGAATCCCGTCCATTACCTTACTTACTGAACACTCTATATAACTATTATATGAACTAAAGTATTTATATGCACTAAAATTCATTTAAATTAGATAATTTCAATGATGAATCCATAAGTCCCAATAAGTGATATGAATTTAATTTAGCGAAATTTGAACATTTAAGTATTTATGTATATTATAGGTATGATCATTTTTTTATGGAAAAATGTACATACTTTAACAAATAATTAGAATAAAATTATGTGATTTCCTATTCTTAATTACACAGAAAAACGTTTTGCTATATATATAAATAAGTTCAAATTTTACATAATTAACATCAAACATTAACCAAAATATACTTTTATAAACCCATTTTTGCATCAATTTTAAATTTGCAATTAGAGTTTTGCATATGGCCTAAATAATAACAAAATCATTCTAATTAATATAACAAATATTTATGTTTAATTATTAGGTTACATATGATTAATCAATAAATATATTTTAATTAAAAATAAGTTGAAAAAGTTCTACTCTCTATACGCATTTTTGAGTTTTGAATCACCTCTGTATAAAGTGAAATGATCCGACTAAAAAAATATATATATGGAATGAAAAGGTATATAAATAGTATTTTTTATAAAAATTATAGAACTATAAAGTTAAAAATATAAAAAAGATTTTTTTATAAAAATTTTATTTTATTTATTAACTTTGATGTATGTTTTCACCATGAAAATAAAATAAAGTTTGAAATTTTTTTTTCCTATTGAAGTATATTACATAAGCTTAAATTTAAGATTTATATATTCCATTTCTGATATTGATATTACTATTGAAATAATATTGAGTTAAAAAGTTTCAGAAATGTCTTAAAGGTGAAAAATTTTAATTTTAATTTATATAATTGTAAAACTATTTTAGGATTAAAAATATTTATTTTCGTACTTTTAATCAACTGGTATTTTTGAATTTTACAATATATTATAACTAATAATAAATTTTATAATTTTAAGATTGAAATAGCAAAAATTAATACATTTGGCTTTTAATCTTTTGATATAATTTCATTATATTTAATTTTAAAACTGTAAGCAAAACATAATAAACCAGATTATATTGTAAAATCTATGATGGTTTGTTTTCTTTTTTATATGTAACTTTTTAGAGTTTATTTTTTTTCTTTGTGTCTTTTAAACAACTAATTTAACTATTGAAAAGCCATAAGAACTGTATTTATAATCTTTTTAATATATTTAATTACATAAAGATTTTGTATTATATTTGTATTATTTCTATATTTCCTTTAGGTATAATAAGAAATAGAAATTATTTTCTATGTGTTCATATGTAACAATTTATAAAATTGTTATTTGTATTATTTTAATTTGGAGGGAAATTGTCTCAATTGCAAATTATAACATACATATATATTTTATTTAAAGGTGAAATTTTCTTTGAAGAATAAGATTTTCTTAATTTTGTAATTTACCTTTAAACATTCCTGTTAAATATCTACTATTTCGACATACAAGTATATTAAAAATATTACTTGAAGTTTAAAGTGTTAAAGAATAATTTTAATTTGATGCGAAGCTGAGTCGGTATTCATTTTACTATGATGTGCTTTTATCTTTTTTGTGTCTGTTACCACTTTTACTCAGCCCTCACCAAACTGATGTCTTTTAGCGATACGTCAAAACATAACAAATCGTATCTAGTTGAAGACATTACCCTCAAAAATTGAAAAAATTTCTCTCGTTCCCCTTTAATTTGGGAATCTCCAAAAAAGTTAATTATACTTAAAAATATAATTTTATATAGATACATAATGTCTACCTATCATTTGGTACATTTTTTTTTTATAAATTTGACCCTTAAATTTAAGCTTATGTAATATAATTTATTATGAAAAAAAAAATTTCGGACTTAATTTTGTTTTCATGACAAAAATGAACAGCAAAGTTAATAAAAAAAATACGATTTTTGTAAAAAAAATTTTTTTTATATTTTTAACATAATAATGCTATAACTTTTTGAAAAATGTATGGATCATAATAACTTTTTTAAGATAAGTACTATTTATATTTTTCTTTTATGCAACACACTTTTTTTTTTAATCAGACCCTTTATATATTATACTTATAAATCATTAAACTTGTAATCAGAATATAAATAAGGAAATAGGAGATCATATAGCTTTTGAAATAATTCACCAATTTTTTAAAATTAAACACAATCTACAGATTTGTATCAAAGCCTTTATGATAATGATTTTAATCCAGATACTGGGACCAACTATGCCACACTCCCACTGTGCTGGGATTTTTATTTATAAAAACCCAGCACAGGGGGGTCGCGGCACAGTGGTGCCGTGGTATAGTTGGATCAAGTATAATGATATCTGACAGTGATTAAAATCACTATCAAAAATAAACGCTTCGATGCAAATCTTTAGATAGTGTTTAATTTTAAAAAAATTGGTGTTTTATTCCAAAAGCTACTTGATCTGCTGGTTCCTTATTAATATCTCGATTAAGATAAAGTATGTCGAATGAAAAAGGGTTTATTAAAAAATATTATTTCTCATAAAAAAATTGTGTGGATCCATAAACTTTTCAATAAGTTATAGCATTATAAAGTTAAATATAATATAAATAATAAAATCGAGAATTTTCACACGAAAATAGCATTCGGTAGCCATTTTCGCCGTGAAGACAAGTCCAGAGGTCAAATTTTTTTTTTTCAAATTAAAGTATATTACATTAGCTTTAATTTAAGATATATATAAAAGTGTCAGACCTTCCGGAACATTTTCAAAAGTTAAGTTGAAAAAGTTAATTTTTTGTGAAAAAGTTGTCATTTTAAATTCCCCCCTGTGGGCAGGTTAAGTGTCAGATTTACAAAAAAATATACCAAATGATAAATAAAGACATCAAGCATCTATAAAAAAAAAATTATATTGATATGTTCATTTTGAAAAAAGTTACGGNAATTATATTGATATGTTCATTTTTGAAAAAGTTAGAGCATTATTAAGTTAAAAATATAAAAAAAAATGATTTTACAAAAATCGTAATTTTTTATTAACTTTGATGTCAACTTTCACCACGAAGACAAGTCCAGAGGTCAAATTTTTTTTTTTCAAATTAAAGTATATTACATTAGCTTTAATTTAAGATATATATAAAAGTGTCAGACCTTCCGGAACATTTTCAAAAGTTAAGTTGAAAAAGTTCTACTTTCTATATACATTTTTTATATTTGAAGCCCCCCCATATATAGGAAAATAATCTGATTTAAAAAAAAAAGTATATCCAATGAAAGATGTATATAAATACTACTTCTCATGAAAAAATTGTATTAATCCATNGTATATAAATACTACTTCTCATGAAAAAATTGTATTGATCCATACATTTTTTAAAAAGTTATAGCACTTTAAAGTAAAAAATGTAAATTATAAAATCGAGAATTTTCACACAAAAATAGCATTTGATAGCCATTTTCACCACGAAGACAAGTCCAGAGGTGAAATTTTTTTTTTTCAAATTAAAGTACATTACATTAGCTTTAATTTAAGATATATATAAAAGTGTCAGACCTTCCGGAACATTTTAAAAAGTTAATTTTTTGTGAAAAAGTTGTCTTTTTAAATCCCCCCCTGTGGGCAGATAAAGGGTCAGATTTACAAAAAAAATATATCAAACGATAGGTAAAGACATCAAGCATCTATAAAAAAAAAATATATATTGATATGTTCATTTTTGAAAAAGTTACGGCACATTTTAGTAAAAAAAATTGAAAAAATTTCGAAAATTAGCGATTTAATTTTTTATTAACTTTGATGTCAACTTTCAC